AGGAAATTCAGCTATCACAATCATGAGCTTCATATCACCAGTGACCCGAAGTATCTAGTAAAGCTCAAGGAAGAACTCAAGCTTACCAGCAAAGCTTCGAAACCAACTCCGTGTACCCAAGAGTCTCAGGAAGCCGACTAGACTCAACCCTTAGACCAGGAACAATCGGCATCATTCAGGAAATGCGTTGGCATACTCTTGTATGTCAGTCAGGATTGCCCTGATGTGCAATTTGCCGTGAGAGGTTTAGCCTCTAAGATGTCGGAACCTACTCATGGTTCATGGAAGCATCTAGTTCACCTAGTGCAGTACATGGCAAGAACTGAAGGATACCATTTGGCATATCTGAAAACACCAAGAGGACTCAGCAACCTCCATGAAACAGTCAGGAGTGGCAGCTACGAGTTTACAGGAACACAGCCCAAGGAACATCATCGTTTGGAAGTCTTCAGTGATTCAGATTGGGCAGGCAAGAAGGACACTAGAAGGTCAACGTCATCAGGAATAGTCTGTCTTGACGGTCAGTGCATCTACTCCTTTTCTAGGAATCAGAAGTCTGTCAGCTTGAGTAGTGGAGAAGCAGAGTACTACGCAGGAGCTAGTGCAGCTAGCGACAGTATCTTACTCAAGGAAGCAGTTGAATTCTTGACTAGGAAACAGTGCAAGCTACATCTGTACATGGACTCACCGGCAGCTAGAGTCAAGCACTTGCAGATTAGGACCTTGTTTCTTCAGGACCTCCAGGAACAATCAGCGTTCACCCTGTAGGAACCAAGGAGAACACAGCAGATATAGGAACCAAGCCTCTTTCAGCGAAGTGTATCAAACTGTTGTTGCACTGGCTAGGTTTTCAAACAGGTGAGAACGAACCAGTAGGAAAAGAAGAGCTCAAGGAACACAAGACCCAAGCACAAGCCAAAGCAGCCATTAGGACGATTAGAAGCCAAGGAAGTTTGTCTTTTGCAGCCTTGTTGTTTCCAGGAGTTTCAGTGACTTCGGAGAGTCTTCAGTTTCAGAGTTGCAAGGAACAGTGTCTTGAGAGTTTGGGTTTTCAGGAAGAGTTTCAGGAACTTCAGGAACTTTCTTTCTGGTGTGCAAGTGCATGTGAGCAGGACGTCATGTGCAGTGACATGAGTGCATGCGAGCTAGGAACGTTTTGCATAGGAAGTGAAGCGCATGGAACGACATGTTGTGAGATGCTTTCGCAGCTCAAGGAACTCTGCGGAAACCTCGCAGAGAGGTCAGGAGTGGTGTACCAGACAGGAACCGCGCAAGCCATGGAGAGCGCGAGCAGCTCAAAGTCTGCAGCCCAGGTACAGAAGGAACTCAGCATGCGACGAGATAAAGAAATCGCAAGCGCACAAGGAACAGATCAACGAGTCGATCAGGAAGAACACTGAGGAAGCAGTCAAGCTTCGCAAGTCACAGGAATACGTGGCAATGTGTGTGAAGACACTTACGACCCAGGTACAAGATGTCAAATGTCAGGTACAGGAAATGTCTGAGCAGAACGAGCGTGAGAGAAGTGCCGCTCAGGACCAGATGAGGCAGGTATTCGTCACCTGCGACATGCTCAAGGAACAGGTCCAGGAACTGATGACCGACGTCTACTACCAGACCAACGCAGAAAGCAAGGAAGCAACCGAAGAAGAGAAGGAAAGAGAAGCCCAGGACCGACGCGAAGAAGCAGAACTTAGAAGGACAGGTCACGGCTTGGGAACTACTTCGAGAGCCACGTCACCTACCTCCACGCCAAGGAACCGTACAAGAAAGGAAGGTGAAGGAACAGCGCCAGACCTCGAGGAATGGTCTGACAGAGCCTACTTCGACAAGATCCTGGAGCAGGACCAGGAAGAAGAGGACTACGGCGAGAGCGAGAACGAGCGCTACACGCAAAGCTACGTTGGAGGAGATCCCGGGGAGTACCCCGATGGAGACAAGGAACAGGAAAAAGGAGAAAAGGAAGAGAAGGAAGAAGAGGAAGACAAAGAGCCAAAGGAAGAAGAGGAAGACGAAGAAGCAAAAGAAGAGGAAAGGAAGAGAAGGATCAGAGAGATCAACGCCAAGAGCAAGGAGAAGGCAAAGGAAAAGCAAAAGGAAGCAGACAGCTTTCCGTACCCCTCAGACTACGGCAACGAGTGGAAGGAGTACACTGAGAAAGGCGAGATCTACAGAGAACACAGAGTCACACGAGAAAAGCAGTGGATCGACACGGACCACAAGTACAAGCACCAGAAAGGAACCAAAGGAAAGGACAACAAAGGAAGAGGAAAAGAAGGCAAAGGCAGAGGACAGCCAAAAGCAGAGGAACAAGGAAATCAGCCGCGTGACGAAGCAGATCGTCAATACTGGGAAGAACAGGATAGGGTCTCAGAGGAACAAAAGAAAGCAAAGGCAGCAGCAGAAGAGAAGAAGAAGGCAACAGAGGAGCAGATGGCAAAAGCACGCAAGATCCTAGAGGAATCGGCAGCAGAACAGGAAAGGAGAGACAAAGCAGAAGCAGCAGCCGCAGCCGCCCAGAGAAGGCGAGAAGAAGAAAGGAAGCAGCAGCCGCAGCCAAAGCAGAGAAGGAAAGGCAAGAAGAAGAGGAAGCAGCCGCAGCAGCCAAGGCAGAGAAGCAGAAGAAGGAAGAGGAGAAGAAAAGAAAGGAGAAGGAAGCAAGGAAGAAGAGAGAGCATGACCAAAGGGAGTCATCAGCATACATCGCAAAGAAGGAAGCAGAAAGGAAAGCAGCAGCAGCAGCAGCAGGATCAGGAGAAGTGGAGAAAGCAAGTGAAGAAGGAGACAGGATTAAGAAGCTGGAACTCATGATGGAGGAAATGATGAAGGAACGTAAGGAGGATAAGGAGAAGATTGCAAGCCTTACGCAGGAACTCGAAAGCAGAGGATCGGCAGCCGGGTCGCAGGCACCCACAGAAGCAGACGCAGACACAACACCAGCAAAGGAACAGGAGCAGGAAGAAAAGAAGGAGAAGGAACTTTTCGGCAAAGGACCGATCAATGAAGGATCGTTTCAGAAAGGAAAAGGCCGTGGAGAGTTTGAAGGAAACTGGTTTGCAGTCTACAGCTTCAACAACCGCAGGTACCAGTGGAAGTGGAACGAGGAGAACAAGAAGTGGTACTGGTACTCAGGAACCAAAACAGGTGGCTGGAAAGCAGGCAGCCGAGACGCCAAAGGAAAGGAAAAGTGTGAAGCACAAGCAAAGCGGCTCAGCGACTACCTCAAGGAGAACAAAGGAAAGTTGAAGGAAGACCCAAAGGACCCAGACGTCGTGGTGGTCGAAGACGAAGAAGAAGACAAAGGAACAGTGAACTTTCAGTGAGTCCAGAGTGACGAGGAAGTGAGGCCAGAGAGCCGAGGAAAGAGCAGCGACTAGCAACACAGGAACCGTGGCACAGCCCTTTTTGTTCCTGTGGTGATCTAAGTAAGCAGGAACAGTTTTGTACAGTCTAGCAACCTTGGAGAGGATTGCGAGTGAACGGTAGACGTTTGCGACAGAGGAACAACATTTGTTTTGTAGTGGAAAAAGGAACTGCAGCGTGTTTACTGTTTGTCCAAGAAAGTCGGAGTCACCTCAGTCGAGGAACTTTCGCTAGCTCCGAAGGCGGGGTGTTAAACATTCTGCCAGGAACAGCAACACCGCTAGTGCAGTGTAGTTAATGTAAAGGAACAGCCGGCTCACGCCCGTGACGTGCAGGCTCGAGACTACCAGGACACACTCCGCTGACAGGAAAAGTGTCCGCCTTTGAGAGTGAGTAGGAAAGCTTAGTGAAGCCCGTTCTTTAACAGGAGAGCAGAGGAGAATGGGGCTTCCTCCCGTTCATTACGTAGCTTTGGCTTACATTTCTTCAGTCAACCCCTTCCCCGCCTCTCCTATCTTCATTCTCTCTCTCTCTTCTTCCTCTGCTTGGCTTGGGTCTCTCTCTGTTCTTTCTATCATTTCTCAGTCTTGTCCTTTCCCTTCTCCTTTTCCTTCCTGGTTCCCAGCTTTCCGCCAGACAAGCGGACGAGCGGTGGGACAGGATGGGCCCAAGGTTAGTGAAGAGGAGAACACCTCTCTTTTGTCTTCCTCCACAAGCTCTTCCTGGTTTATCATCGGTGAGACAGTGAGATAGGATAAGAGCAACGAATGAACAGACGCGGAGGGCAAGGCACTTTCGACTGCATCGCCTCCTCTTTTTCCTCCGCACTCTCTCACTCTGTATCTTTCCCTTTTACTTTCTCTCTTATTTCTGTCTTTTTTTCCTTATGGCTCTCCTCCTCCTTCTGCCCTTCTCGGAATCTCTCTCCGCTTCTTTTGTTTTTTTCTCGTGCTCCCTTGTCTTCTTCCTTGTGAATCGTCATTCTTCCTTCTGAGTGATAGAGGGAGAAGGACGGGAGGCAGGAAACGGAGGAGGAGAAGGAATAGGACAAGCGACGTGACAAAGAGAGTGGGAGAAAGTCAAAATTAGATTCCAGAGCAAACATAATAGGCGGAGAGAGGCGGAAAAGGGAATGTGCAGAAGCAGAGAGGAAGGGAGGCAGAGAGAGAGAGAGAGAGAGACAGAGAGGGAGATGGAGAGAACAATGAAAACGAGGAAGGGGAGATGATGAGAAAGAGTGGACTTTGCTTTCCCTGAGCTCTCCGTTCCTGTCATTTCTCCTTCTAATTAAGAACAAGAATAAGAGAAGAGAAGAGAAGAGAAGGCAGGGGAAACGAAAGTGAGAGAGGCGAGCGAGGGAGGAATCCACTTTCCAGCACCCAGCAGAAACAGAAACAGCAGCAACAGGACGGCTTCTTTGGACTCTGCTTCTTGGAAAATCAAAGTTGCCGCAGCCCATGAAGCAACCCTTGTAGGAACCGCTTATGTATTATTATAAGAAATATACACACACATAGGTATTTGTGTTTAAAACAGAAGGGATCGCCAAATAATACAGAAAGGTCCATGTCACATAATCCTATACCCAATTCCACTTTCCTCTAAGGCGCAAGCGCCTGCGAGTGGCTGCTGCAGCGATGGAGCTGCAGACGCCTTCGCAGGATTCAGTGTAGGGTGGCTCAGGAACGGTGCTTGGTTCCAAGAGTTTTTTTTTCAAGCGAAGAAAGGATCTGGGATTTTGATGTGCGCGCGTAGAGACCAAAGCCCCGCTCTCTCGACAATCTGATTTGCGCTGGTGCTGGGCGCAAGGTCGTTCTACGACGACACGGGAATTTACTGGGCCTTACAACTTGAAAAAACCGAAGAGTCGATGCCTTGAAGTCTGCCGCAAGACCAGCACGGAGCAGCAGAGGAACATTCGGCTCAGGTCAGTGCCGCTTGCACGGCTGCTGCTGGCAGCGAAGGTCCTTTCGTGGCAAATACTTTGGACGGCTTGCAATTTTAACTACAGAGCATCGCCAAAGTCAGCTCCAATAACTTTACTGTATTCCATGCGGCACCGCAAAGACGTGGATTTGCCTTTGAAGTTACTAGAACAGGCTCTGGAGGGCAGCGCCAAGCGTTTGGCTTGATCATTGATCCGGGCTGCCGACAATGACCCAACTTTCCCATGAAGTGTATTCCTTGCTCGATTTGGCAGACCAACAGACCTCCGAAATGTGTATGGAGAAGTCACCAAAGCAATTTGTTTACCCATGTTTACCCTGCCGCTGGGCAGCAGCTGCGAGATAGGGCGTAGGGGAGTGGAGAGCCGCACAGTCAAACAACCATGTTCCATAATCCTACTTGCAGTGGACGCCTACACCGCAGCACGTTCCAGGCGGCCAGTTCCGGAGCAATTGCCATGGTCGAGCTGAAGGGTGCGGACACAGAGGTGACAGTCAAACATGCGGGGTGTGCCTTCTTCCCGGCGCACATGAAGACTCGAACGCTTCCGCTGGAAGGCTGCACCTTGTTCCCTACGCTTAGCAGCAGTGTTGCAGCCTCGTGCTTCAGGATTTTTCAGAAGAAGAGGAAGAAGGAAGTGCAAACCGAGGTCGCACAGGAGCCTTTTGCAGTCCGAAACACAGGCTATGGTGCCAGTCTCAGGGCCCGAAGCCGTGTGAAACAAGTTGGCTGCGCTTTTCATTTTTTCATGCGAGGTCCTATCCCTAACCATTTCTTTCATACAATGCTCGTCCTTGGCCGCCGTAGAACCGACTTCTACATGGGCGCCTTAGTTCGGGTTTGCAGTGCTCACAAAGTGAACTTCCGTCAAGGTTCCGAGCGCTTCTTCCTTCCTCCGCGAGCAGCTGGAGTCTGCCGATGCCTGCTGGGGCTCAGGCCAATGGCTTTCTGGGTCCGCACGTGCCCCCATAGAGCGAGTGCGCAGGTGCAGCCCGCGCGTTGGAGGGGCAGCTCGCGGGTTCTGTCGCCCTCCTGGCGGTGCCGCCAGGCACATAGCAGCACATCTCAGTACATAGCACAGCGCCTGAGCCAAGCCTCTGCAGGTTCTCAAACCTCTCTTCGCTGCTTTGCCCCCAACACGAGCTTGAGCTCAGCGTTTGCTGCACCGGTGGCTCCAAGCCAAGGTGATGACTCAGTGCTGTTGCTGGAGGTTGCTTTGAGCACATAGTCACGCAGTGACATTGTCATGGTAGTCCGACGCTCTCCGATGCTGCAGGTCGTTGCAGAAGGTCTCTCGGAGGCAGACCGTCCAGTCGAGATCAGCCAGGAGAGTAGTGAGGGAGAATATAGGGAGAGAGTTAGACGGAGATCCAGTTCGCAGGGGTCAGTACCAACCATGTAGCCGCCGGGACAGCGCGTGACCCCTGCATACCCTGAAAAAAACAAGGCAGCCCTTCTGTTTTGGACAGCAAGCTGATTGCGGCTTTGACCCGGTAGCTGGGGGTGAAGCTGCTGGATGAAAGACACCAGCACAGCGAGCGCGAGATGCAGTTGCTGATCTACCACATCCGTGAATCAACTGGCAGAAGGGACTGTACTAGTAGCAGACACCAAAGAGGGCAATCACCGTGGGAGTGGAGGGGGGCATGACAACACGCGCAGGGAGAGTGAAAACTTGGAGCACATGAAATGGGACAACCTACGACGGTCAAGACAGGGGCGCCTCAAAGCCTTAAGTTGAAGGAAAGGCAGAACCGAGACAAACAGTGTGAGCTGTGTCAACCTACTCACCGAAAAGCATGGCGAGAAGTCCGCAACGAGAGCCACGATCTTCTGGGACAACGGGAATGCATGGGAGGAGCAGAGGGCGGGGATGGGTGAAAGAAGAGCGTTGAAGAGCGAGGGGCGAAACCCGTGGCAAAATTGAAGAAGTTTGCCGAGGCCAGGATCAGCCAACTCCCGAATAAGAGTGGAAGAATCGCTACCCGTGCACGGGAGAGCAATTTCAGCAAGCAGAGGGGCCAACAAGACGGAGGAGCCCATGCACCAGTTGGGGAGCATACAGCTGCAGACACGGAATGGTCGGAAGGCTAGTGCAGCCACACAGCGTCTGGATGGAACGCGGCATGGAAAAGGCCCTAGTCCACGGGATCTTTTGCTGCTGCGGCGACTGCTACTCCTGTCGACAGAGGTGTGAGGGTTGGCACCAGGAAGACAACACCCAAAAGGAGCACAACTGAGGAGATGCACGACTTCTCGTGAACACTGGCTTGCCAGCTCGGTGTGGATAGGAGAGCCTGAGGACTGGACGGAGCCGTTTGCGGTCGGATCTGCTGGGACAAGAATAATCATGGACAATGTTTGATTCCTTCAACTGCACCTTCGGTGGCAATCCGTTCGGTGACTACGGGCCACTCAGCGGACAGCAGCAACAGCGGTTGCTTCTGACTGCTACTGTGGGGATTCGTAAAGCCAGTAACCAGAGAAGAACAGGAAGAAGAGGGAGGAGAGGCAACAGTTAGCATTTATGAGGCTGCATCACTGTCTACACTGCATTACGTAACATTCGAGCAGCAGGACACAAAACGACTTTCGGTCAAAGAGCGGATGGCCAAGCCCCTCGGAAAGAAAGACTGGTCGTGCAACTAACAAGGTTAGCGACAGCTGCTTATGGAGATGCACAAAAGCAGAGCGCTCTCCTGTAGCTGAAAGGCTTGCAGCAGCTTCCCTGCCCCCCGGTGCCATTGGCATGATGCTGTGCCTAAGATTTGCAGATCATTTAGCAGCTTATCAACATCCATATCGTCTCCTGTGACTGGTCCAACAAGGCCTTTGGCGGAAGGTGACGTTGAAGAGAAGGCCTCCAGCTAAATGATACTATGAGCACCAAGTCACGGTAGCTTCATGTCACCAGGTTGGCCTTTCAAACGGGAGACCGAAGGAAGCAAAGGAGCTCCAGAAGGGTTGTCTCGCCTTGTCACGAGCTCCTGCAGGATCCCGTCCTTGCAGGTCCGGGTGTGTGCTCAAGCCCTCCCAGGCATGAGATCGGTGGAGATGCAAACGGGCAAACTTGGAAGCCTCTCCGTTGCAGGCCTGCGCATCCTGGGCCACTGCCTGTCAACCAAAGTGGAGAGGACCTCAGCCGCTGCCGGCAACTTGCAGTGCAGGGACCGTGTATGCACGGCAAGCACATGCAAGCACGCACGTTCAACCCCTGCAGCAATCAAAGGCCTGCAGAATGGACATCCGTCAGCTGAGATCATCCGACAGTGCCAGAGGGTCAAGCCGGTAGAAGACATGTTCGTGGAAACGAGGAAGAAAATCGAGTTTTTGTGATGAGCTGGACTCTGCCAGGTACTGGAGTGCGGTACAGGAAAGTGGGAGTGCGCTGGGCACCTCGTGATTCAGCTGAGACAAGCCGCAACGAGCTGCCGTCCATGTTCCAGGCCATATGCATACCTTGGAGCTCTCCCTTTTGTGCCTGAGATCTCAGATGCACTTATCCAGATAGCAAGTGTCAAGGAGACAGTTCTGATGCAACTTCCCATTGAATTTCCCAATCAAGGCCGGGCCTCACGCGAATGCCTATAGCCTCGCCGGCTGTGCACTCCACTCATGGCGCGGCTGCGCCGCACGGTAGCATGGCCGCGGCACAGAACATACTTGTGTAGTGTAGTACACTGTCGCCACCCAGGATCGCTGAAACCGCGAAGGGCTTCGCAGGAGATGGGTTCCGAAGCAGAGACTCCCCGACGGGCCTGCATGTCCAGGACCTGTGCCGCCGATGCCATCGATGCCGATGACTATGCCGACAGGTCCTGAGGCCCTGGAGGCACCGGCCTCGACACGGTTCCGATCTGCCGCCATCTGGAACTTGCCATGTGAGGCTAGAGTCGGAACGATGGGCTCAGCAAGGGTCCCGATTTCTCACCTGGAATATATTAGAAACAGTTGTGCTGAGGTGCCTTTGAGCAGCGTGTCGATGGGTGAGTTCATGGCGTCCATGCGCGATCTAGTGGGCCTCGGAGCATCCATTCCGGTTTGAAGCAGAAGCCCGGTTTCTAGATCATTCTGTCATCGCTCTACCTAGGTTAGAGCAGAAGCCACGCCAGAAGGTTGGCAGGCCCCGTCATCAAGCGCCACTTGTTCCTGCATGAGAAGAGCAGCATGTCCAAGGCAGAGCGGCAGAAGCTCGAGAGACGAGCACCGGTCACAGATTCCTTCAGACACAGCTTGGGTAAGTATGTGCCGAAGCACTCAGCGACAAACAGAGGAGGCAGAGAATGCAAAGCACAAGCAAGCCGGCAGACATGCAGGCAAGCCAGCAAGGACTAAAACCTGATCGACCGAACACCTAACGACTGACTCTGACCGAATTGCACAAGTGCTGCTTCTGCGAGAGAGTGGGCTGTGTGAGGTGATCGGTGACGTAGCAACAGCCGGCAATGGTCCAAAAGAGACAGGGAGTCCAAACACTAAGCATCTGCTCGATCACGGGCATGGACTCTGAGAAACAAGCACATACACATGTATATATATATATACACACACACCAACGATCACTAGCAAGTCTGTTGCTCCGTCATGAAGGCAGCTGCCCCAGCCGCTTTTTGTGTGGTTCGAGCAGCGCGCAGTTCATCCCGTGCAAGAGCGAGACATACAGAAAGCCTCAAACAGTCGACAGGCTTCGAAAGCCCAGCGCCCACCACACGAGCTGAAAGATGCCGCTGCTCGCCGTTCAATCGTAGCCTTATGCTTTCACGAGGACAGCAGGGATAGCACCAACTCGATGACCAGCCAGCACTCTCCTTGGATAACATATACGGTAGCAGGTGGCTGAAGTGATCATGCAGTGGCTGCTGGGCGCAGCACAAGCCGTGAAAGAAGCGACGGGGCCATCTGTCAGTGTCGTCGCAGGTCGTAGAGTTCAGCAACAGCAGTTGCTCGCCGACGGCGGCTTTGCATATGTCTATGCTGGCCTTGATGCCGAGACTGGCGAGAAGCTGGCCATCAGGAAGGTGCTGCTCCAAGACAGGGAGACCTTGGAGAAAGCGAAGGTTGAGATCGAGCTGCTCAACAGCCTTTGTGATCATCCGCACGTAGTGCGATTCCTGGGTGCTGAGGTTACTCAAAGGGGCACTGCCAACGAAGCGGTTTACTTGTTTGAATTATGTACTGGCGGCACGCTGTTTCAAAAAATTGATAGCAAGGTTGTGGCCTCGACCAAATCCACTTCCGATCCGTTGCAAAACCAGCCAGGGCACTGTCCATGTCTTCCACAGGATACAATTTTGGAAGTACTTGGAGCTCTCGCCCAAGCCCTTGCTTATCTCAGCCGGTTGGGTCTCATTCACTACGACGTGAAAAGCGAGAACGTCCTCCTTGGCTCGGACAGTCTTTGGAAGTTGGGCGACTTTGGCTCTGCGAGCGAAAGATCCTTCGACCTCGAGGGTGCAGACAAAAAGGTGCTGCTTGATGCACAAGAGTTTATTCATGGCCGCTGCACACCGATGTACAGAGCACCTGAACTGGCAGATGTCTACTTGAGATGGAAAATTGGGGCCAAGGTGGACATGTTTGCGTTGGGATGTGTTCTCTTCGCAGCTATGACAGCACAGCATCCATTTCCCATGGAATCCACTTGTGCCAACATCACAGCCAGCTATCGAATTCCCACGGAGGCTGCTGCATCTTATGCTCCGGCACTGCTCGGGTGGCTACGACGGTTGCTGGCCCGGGAGCCCTCAAAACGCCCTTCTGCTGTCCGTCTTGCGGCAGAGGTCGAGCGCTTCCGAATCTTGGGAGAGGATCCGAACGAAGATATGCTTGAACACGAACGCAAGAACCAGAACAGGGAGAGCATCCCTGCAGATGCTGCCTTTGCAGACTTTGCCACCTTCGCGCCAATAGCTGCGCCACAGAGCTGAAAAGTGCATCTCGCACGTTTGCCTCGCATGTTGCCAAGAACTTACACGTTCAACTGCCAAAGTTTTGGCTTGACGTCCCCGAGGTGTCACTGCTGGAAGAGCAGCTTCGCTCATCAAAGGTGCATCAGGCGCCGGACTGCGAAGCATACTCTGCAAGTTACACGAAGGTGGTAGTGCTAGGTATTGGCTGCTCACTGCGGACTCCATGACTGTGCAGTTTCATTTTATCCGCTTCAATTTCAACGTACCTGATTAGGCAGCTGTCTCGAAGTCGCCCCCTGTGTTCAATGTAGTTACTTGTTGGGGACGGTACCCATCACGGCTTTCAAGACGTGGTGAAGATCTGCTCCTGAATCACACAGAGATCGTTGAAAGGCTTTTTGGGTTCTGCGTGAATCCTCACTAAAGTTCACTACAGGTACGAAAAATCCGTCAAACGGACTGAGCCTTCCCGAACGAATCAAATACCGGCACCAAATGGAAGTTGCACAATGCACTTGTCGCAAAGTCAGTAGGTTTCGAGTTAACCTTCAAAGGACCTCCAACTCCGAGAAATTTCAGAAAATGAAGCGTAGAATGCATTTTCAGAGCAGACAGATATGATCTGCTCGGGCAGGCGATCCTCGAACTTGGAAACACTGCCCCAAAGCATAAATTGCATCGGTAGACCAAGAACTGACGGGCTGTTTGAGGTGCTCTGACAGGGGGACCCTATTTTTCTTGACCCTTTTTTTTTGTTTTTCTTTGCCCTTTTTTTTTCCCTTTGGGGGCCTCGGTGTTTTCTATTACAGCTGCTACTGCACCTACTCCCACTAATACCTCCTGCTACACCACTACTACTACTACTACTACTACTACTACTACTACTACTACTACTACTACTTCTTCTTTCTTCATTCGCAGCGAAAGGTCTCCGCTAAGCGTCCCAACGACAGCTTCAAGCCGGCGCACAGCGCACTCCATTTTGGAGCTCGGTACACTACCCCGGTGCGAACACCGGCGGGCACCTCGAACCACTGAGTTTGCAACAGTGTTTAAGGATGCCATAAAAGGAAACAAAACTCGCCAGAAAGTCCCCAAGTATGGTGATGCTTTGTATCTCCCCAAAAGACATTCACGCATCGATGCAACTTGAGAGAGTCGCATCATGCACGGAACATTCCCCACGCATCAGGAGTGCCTGCAGCGTATCAGGGTGTAGATGTATCCATCACTTTCAGCATACGGTGGCAGTTGAGCCTGAAGGATGGCGGATCTGCCATCATCGGTCTCCCAACACGGGCCCCTGGGCAGAGCGCTCGGCTCCAGGAGCAGTGTATTGTAATGACCCGATGTGGGAGTGTCGCCGTGATGTACAACAATGGAGATCAAAGCATATGTAGCATTGAATGTTCTGAGACCCGTGCCAAAAATTGGCAAAGTGACCCTCGGAGTGGCCAGCACCGGTGTGCGGTCTTTGCACATCGTGTCCCCAACAGCATTGTATCTGGCAAGCTGGAGAATGACAACTGCATGGTCCTTCAGAAGACCGTTGGTGCAACGTTCTTGCCTGTGCCATCTGTCCACGCAGGCTTGAAGGGTGTCTGCAGTACCCGAGGAGTCCAAGCCGCCCTGTCTCAGGTGAAGTACAATGGGAGAGCTGAGATCGCCTCGATCTGCTATGGAAACAGAGTCAGGGCCTGCCAGACGTCTGGACTGCCATTCCCCCAAGAAAATAAGCGGCCTGAGCTTCGAGAAGAGATGCTGCAGGAATTCGGCTATATCGTGTTGGGATGCCGGCATAGCCCATCCACGGAAGAGCCTCGACCAGGATGGAAGTCTGTAGATGGTACAGGATGAGGGCCCATACAAAACATCACGCCAAGCCTGGATGTGGTCCCCAAAGAGCTGTGCATCTGGAGCCTGCAAAAGACAATGGGTCCAGAGATGACTGAGCACCAGGGCATTGATATAGCAGTGTTGAGAGGGGTTTCGCAGAGCCAGCCTCAAAACTCTCCCAGCATCTTCTGGATGTCGTTGGCCAAAGAGCACCTTTGGAGTCCATCTCGGCGGAGCTGGACTCCGCACAACTGCAGAGCTGATAAGCTCTGGAGTTTCTCCAGCCCGGTCCAGACTTCTGCCACTCCCATGGCTCGTAGCCCCACCTCCAACATAAATTTGGAGGGACCTGTCTGCTCCGCAGCCACGGTGTGTGTGGCATTGAACTTGTGGATCACGTCCTTGCGCTTCACCGCTTCCGCCATGGCCCCTAGCAGGGCTATCAGCTCCTGATGCTCCAAGGGGGCCCGATCCGGATCCACGATCAGGGCCTGTGCCGCAGGGTCCCATCTCTGATAAGCCCACTTGCCTTCGCTCGTGAGCCATCCACGGTCCTGGGCTGCCTTTTGCTGTTCCTGATCTGTGCCGAGGGCCTGTACACATTGAAGCACCGTCTGAAACAGAGTGTGCAGCAGTTGTGCTCGAAGAGGCAGCTCCATATGTTTGGTCTGCGCTTCTTGCCTGTAGGCCTCGGACGTCTTGAACAGTAGGGGTAGGGGTCCCTGCTGACCCGGCTGAAGGTACATGTTCCAAGCAGAATTCTGTTTGAGCACCAGTAGACTGGTCTCCTGGCGGATGAGGAGCCGGCCCATGGCCTTGATGAGAGCTGTTTGCCCTCTCTGGCCGCCGCGACCTTTGCCCTTGCTGTGTCCGCCCCCTTGCCAGCCAGAGGGATTGGAGGGTGGATTGTTTAGCAGAGGCTCCTGAGGCCTGCCCCGCTTGCCGAGGTTGTTGAGTCGCACTGCCTTGTGTGGTTGTTCCGACTCCGCCTGAGCTGCCTTCAGGGCATTGCCGAAGGCTGTGGCCTGTGTCAGTGCCAGTTTGCCGAAGATCTCCTCGTGTTGTTCCAACTCCGTCATGGCTGAACAACCCCGCTTCCTGGCTAGCAGCAAGTACACAGAACTGCCACAGCACAGTACACTGGAGTTTATGATGCCGTGGCTGCTTGACTGTGACACCGCAGTACTGGCATGGAATCCCACCCGAGGGGAAGGATTGGCACAGCTTAGTCGCTTGGGAGGCAAGGGAGTGAAGTTGGGGATGTGTCCCTTTATAATGCGTCTTCATCACCTTGGACGTGGCCGTCCATTGTCCACAAATGAGGCAATGCTGATGATAACACTGTCTGTGCTGGAGATGCAATATCATGTTGCATCCATGCCTAAGCAGCAGAGCTTGCATATGTGCATGGTGTGCCAGAGCCACTTCGGAGCCACCCTTCTGAACATCGGCAGAAAGAAGCTCGGGCTGATTCGGATTTGTTTCCACAACCTCCCTAGCTGCAGGGTCTTGCACACGAGCTGCACAGTGATTGCCCTCAATATGTCTGGAGAGCAATTGCCAGGTAGGGAATTTTTTCAGACAGTGCCGACACTGAGGTAGGCCGTTCACTGCATCCTCCAACCTCGAAAAGGTAGGTCGATCCGCCTGCACAACATCAGCATGCTTTTTGGCAATATGTGTCTTAAGTGTGGCACGACTGGGGTAGTGGAGTCCACAGTGTGGACAGCTCCAGGCCTTGTGGGTCTGCTCAGGCAGACAGGTCAAGCTGACCGGGACTTCGTACAGGAAGCTGGTGCGGACCTGCTTCCACCAATCCGACTTGGGGTGACAGATTAAGTCACTGGGAGGCTCGGATTCAAGGCGGTGACCCTCCGTGTCCAGCAGAGCGAGAAGCTGTTGATGGGGCAGTGGAAGCCCTGCTGCCTGACATACCTGTGCATTGGTTGTCAAAGTGATGTGCGCTGGCAGGCGTAGGATAGCACGTAGTTGTTTAACCATGGCCGTATTGAGGCGTTGCAAGCCAGCCTCGGTGAGGCCACAAGCTGTGAGGCTGTAGGAGACGGCGGACCACACACAGGACCTCCACAAGTGGACCCTTTGTCTGGTGGAGAGGTGGTGTCTCCCTTTAAGGACCTTGCCCAGCCGATGGTAAGTGGCCTCACCTTTGGCCAGCCTGTGCTCCAGGGTCTGGTTCTCAAAGGGACCATAGCTGACACGTGCACCCAGGTAGACGAAGCTGTCTACCAAAGGTAGATTGAGCTGGCCTGTCGAAGTGTGGATGCGAAGAACTTTGCCTTCACCATTGGGATTGGGGCGCACGTACTTGCGGCGGATCGTGTTGCTGAGGGAGCCACGGAGGGCAAGCACCATTTTGCTTTTGCTGTCCGAGACCTGCATGCCAAAAGCTGCTAAGATCCGAAACAGGACACCGATCACACTGAGGAGCGCCTCAAATTCAACTAGAGAGTGAAAGGAGTCGGCGACATGATAGTCGTCTGCGAACACGGTCAGCAGCCTACAGACAAGATCGTAACCAATTTGGTTCGCAAGTGCTCTGTTCACTTCATGAGAGAAGATCAGCCATAGTAGGGGAGCGACCGAACAGCCCTGACGGATGCCCTGCGTGGCCCTGAAGGTACGAGAGGCCTCGTCGTGATGAATGGTGTAGTGGATTCCAGCATGCCACTGCATAAGCACATGTATCAGATCATCAGGAAGAGCAAGGTGGCGCATGCCTGCATACAGCTTGGAGCGGGGCATCTTGTCGAAGGCCTGCGTGAGGTCAATGGTCACCATCATTGCACCAAACAGGGGCACAGGGACAGCACCGGCAAAGCGCTGATGAAGGTCTTTGCGGTGCTTGTGAAGTTCCAGTCGGACCTGAGCACAGTGGCTGAACACTCGCCGGAGAGCTGTAAGCTGCGATCGCTACTACTACTACTACTACTACTACCACCTCCTACTACTACTACTACTACTACTACTACTACTACTACTACTACTACTCTACTACTACTTACTACTTACTACTTACTACTTACTACTTACTACCTACTACCACTACCACTACTACTACTACTACTACTACTACTACTACTACCTACTACTTACTACTACTGCCACTGCTACGACTACCACTGCTACGACTACTGCTACGACTACTGCTACGACTACTGCTACGACTACTACTACTACTACTTCACCTACTTCTACTATACCTCCTACTAGACTACTACTACTACTACTACTACTACTACTACTACTACTACTACTACTACACTACTACTACTACTACTACTACTACTACTACTACTACTACTAACTACTACTACTACTACTACTACTACTACTACTACTACTGCTACTACTACTACTACTACTACTACTACTACTACTACTACTACTACTACTACTACTACTACTACTACTACTACTACTACTACTACTACTACTACTACTACTACTACTACTACTACTACTACTACTTACTACTACTACTACTACTACTACTACTACTACTACTACTACTACTACTACTACTACTACTACTACTACTACTACTACTACTACTACTACTACTACTACTACTACTACTACTACTACTACTACTACTACTACTACTACTACTACTACTACTACTACTACTACTACTACTACTACTACTACTACTACTACTACTACTACTACTACTACTACTACTACTACTACTACTACTACTACTACTACTACTACTACTACTTACTACTACTACTTACTACTACTACCACTGCTACTGCTACCACTGCTACGACTACTTCTACGACTACGACTACTACTACTACTACTACTACTGCTACTTCACCTACTTCTACTATACCTCCTACTAGACTACTACTACTACTACTACTACTACTACTACTACTACTACTACTACTACTACTACTACTACTACTACTACTACTACTACTTCACCTACTTCTACTATACCTCCTACCAGACTACTACTACTACTACTACTACTACTACTACTGCTACTACTACTAAGGGTTTCGGCTGGAGGCGAGCTGTCAGGTAGGGTCCCTTCGAACGTCTCATGGCTTTCTGGATCGTTCTGTTTTTGGACTGCTTCTTTCATTCTGCAATCTTCAGCTCGGGCGAGATGCCTCAGCCGCTGGGGTCCCAATTCCCCAGGCCTGCGATCGCTACCGATATACACCATTCTTTATCTGCGCAGGTAAACCCGAGGGTTGGATCTTTATCCACACGAGATCCGAAAGTCACTACGGTGGCGAAAATTTCTGGAAAGGGTAGCCACACAGCTGCTCCATTTACTGACTCGCGCAAGCGTGCCTTTCGAAGGGCCAGGCGACGAGCAGAACTGACAGGTGGAACTTTTTACAGAGGCCGATGGCACTCGGCCGGTGATCTGGGCACTACAGTTTCTGGAACAGCGACGAAGCTCAACCCCCTCAGCAGACCAGCGCGGTCTACAGAAGGGCGCCGACTTCGAGTTCTCACTTACAACATAGGCGGTTTCTGTACTGCTTCGTACGACGTTTTCTGCGACTGGCTTGCTAAGCAAGACTTAGCTGACATCGTTATCATACAGGAACTCCACCATGGATGTGGTAAGACTGAAAATCGCTGGCAAATCGAATCCTGGACTGCTTTGATCAGCCCAGACCCCAAGCAGAGATATTGCGGTGTTGGGGTTTTCGTCAGCCCTAAAGTGGCGCGTGACGCTCAGATTGGATACAATGTCATTATCCCAGGCCGGCTCTTACACGTGCGCTGCGAAGGACAGCAAGTCAATGTCGACGTTGTCGCTGGATATCAGCATGTCTGGCAAGATCACAATCGAGAGGAAATAGCACGCCGACGAGGTGTTTTCTGGGAAAAGCTGAGCGGTCTCCTCCATACGCTGCCAGTTCGACACCTTTTGGTACTGGGCCTGGATCTTAATTCCAAGATCCGAAGCCAACCTGGCCTCATAGGACGTGGCGTCTTGAAGGGCAAACCTGAGCTGGAAGCTGTACTGG